TATTGCAACTGCTCTCCTATGGAGATGGAGTAATGGCTGACAAGGGTTTTGTCATTGAAGAGTTGTCACAAATTGGTGCACACTTAATCATACCACCTTTCAAAACCACATCCCAACTCTCTGCTGCTGATGCCCATAAAACACAAGCAATTGCTCGTCTCAGAGTGCTAGTGGAGAGGGCAATGTGGAGAGGGCAATACGCAGAGTGAAGGAGTACCATATGTGGGATAGCGTTGTGCCCCTCTCCTTGACTGGCTCCATAACCAGCTTTGGGCCGTTTGTTGCCTGCTAACACACTACCAAGGACCTTTTGAATATAAAAATCACATGCCAGTGTAATGTTCTACACTTTATTATGCATTTTAAATGTTTTTTTGTTTAGTCTAATTTTGGCAATCAAGAATAACATGTATTTTACACCACTGTAGTTGTTTGTAAACTGTAGTTGTAAACTTCAGTTGATCAGTTTGTTTAAACTTCAGTTGATCAGCATCGCTATAATTAGTGGAAGGATTTAAAAAGTAAATATAATTCGCTTTGATGCTGCCCCTGACACCTCTCCCTCCCCCACCCCCCACTACTCTAACGACCCACCCATCAGCCCTGCCCCCAGCCTAACAATAGCCCCTAAAGAGATTAAACAACTCTTCTTGAGCCTGCACCCCCGCGAAGCTCCTGGCCCGGACCACGTGTCTCCGGCCACTCTGAGATACTGCGCCAGTGAGCTTACTCCTGTGTTCACTGACATTTTCAACACCTCTCTGCAGTCCTGCCATGTCACGGCCTGCTTCAAATCCTCCATCATTGTGGCACTGTAGCACATCCACCTGTAGCACTTACGTCTGTCGTCATGAAGTCATTTGAACGCCTGGTTCTCTCCCATCTCAAGTCCTTCACCTCCCCCCTCCTGGACCCCCTGCAGTTCGCCTACAGAGCCAACAGATTTGTAGACGCCATTAACCTGGCCCTCCAACACATCCTACAGCACCTGGACTCCCCGGGGACCTACGCCAGGGTCCTGTTCGTGGACTTCAGCTCTGCCTTCAACACAATCCTGCCATCCCTGCTCCAGGACAAGCTCTCCCAGCTCAACGTGCCCGATTCCACCTGCAGGTGGATCACTGACTTCCTGACGGACAGCAAGCATGTCTCGGACTCTCGGATTATAAATACAGGAGCCCCACAGGGCTGTGTTCTTTCTCCCCTGCTCTTCTCCCTGTACACCAACCACTGCACCTCCAGCCACGACTCCGTGAAGCTGATCAAGTTCGCGGACGACACCACCCTCATTGGACTCATTTCCAACAACGACGAGTCCGCCTACAGGAGGGAGGTGGACCGGCTGGTGTCCTGGTGCAGTGGTAACAACCTGGAGCTGAACGCCCAGAAGACAGTGGAGATGATTGTGGACTTCAGGAAGAGCACTGTCCCCCCGCCCCCACCCTCTGTGATGGACTCCCCCATCACCTCTGTGGAGTCCTATCGTTTCCTGGGCACCACCATCACCCAGGACCTCAAGTGGGAGCCGACCATCAGCTCCCTCATCAAGAAGGCCCAGCAGAGGATGTACTTCCTGCGGCAGCTCAGGAAAGCCAAGCTGCCTGCACAGATGTTGGTGCAGTTCTACACGGCCATCATCGAGTCCATCCTCACCTCCTCTATCACCGTGTGGTTCGCTGGAGCCACAGTCAGGGACAAACAGACTACAGCGCATTGTGCGCTCTGCAGAGGAAGTGATCGGCCGCAGCCTTCCATCGCTGCAGGACCTATACGTCGCCCGAGCTCGAGGCTGGGCTGGTCGTATCACAGCCGACCCCTCTCACCCTGCACATGGACTATTCCAACCACTCCCCTCAGGCAGGAGGCTGCGGTCCATCAGGACTAGAACCTCCCGCCACAAGAACAGTTTCTTCCCCTCTGCTGTTGGACTCATGAACACTTCTTAACCTGTCCCCCCGCCCTTTTATAAAGTCACTTTACTGCCCAACATACGTCACTTTACTTCACTGTACTGCTGTCACCTTACATTGTGTGCACCATGTGCACTTGTATATTGTAAATAGTAACTGTAACTGTATGGTTTTTCCGCATTGGCGAACACACTCGAAGCCGTTGCATAAGGTCACGGGAGCATGACAACGCATATACACAGTCTGTATATATACACAGAGTCCCCCATTGTCAACCCTGGTTTGAGTTCTGGTGAAGTCTGGTGTGGATCCTGTTTTGGCTGTTTACAGTATTTTCAGTCTGCTCGCTCAGTCCGCTGATGTCCCCGTGACCACTTTGCGGCTCTGATTGGTTGTCGCACAAACGTCCCAAGGAAAGGATGAGCAGAATCCATCTCCTGTGGGCGTTGACTTTTCGCTCCTTCTCCACCTTTTTCACTTTCGCGCCAAGTCTGTGCGTCATTATTGAACAGTCCGTTCGTGCGTGCCGAGAGGTCCGTGCGTTGTGACAGTCGAACGCGCGCCACCATAGACTTTGCATTGAAACCCGACGCAACGCATGATCCGGTCTGAAAGCACCATCACGGTCAACCACCGGTTAAACGGTCACCGATTTACATCCCTACAGTTGACACTGCTTGAGAGTTTGACTCGCGGATCAGTGAGTGAGGTCGAGAGGAGAGAGAGCAGCCAACTTTGCGCGTAGGAAGAGCGTGGAGCAGGGATACACCTGCCGCCTCTCGCAGCGTTTCACCTGCTGTTACTAATGACTCGGAATCGTTCTGCGAACCTGATCCTGACTCATTGGATGAGTGGTTGCGGTCTGAAACCAGCAGAGCGTCATCCCAGAAGCTCCAGAAAGAGCTGAAGGTAAGAACTTGCTAAGTTACCTAGAGTATGCTGACTTTAAAGGAGGGGAAGGCACGGAAAGTTGCTTTTATCTTCAAAGTAACACAGCGCTGAAATCCCGAGTGCTTCTTTTGTACATGGCACTTATGTTTTTTCATTTTAGTATTTATTATGTATGTGTTTTGTTATTTTTTTTACTTGTACATCTTGTTATTGTGTCATAGCTCTGACTAAATGAAATGTATTCTTCATTCACAGGTTCTGATAAATTGAGGTTGGCAGAGCAAGGAGAGGTAAAAATAAATCCTCATACCATTGTGTATATTTTGTTTGTATATTCTCCTGGTATGTATATGTGTGTGTATACATACGCACGCACGTACATACGTATGTATGATTATTCACAGGTGGTGCAACAAGAGGTGGTCCCTGAAGGGTACAGAAACTATTATTTCTATTTAGAGCTGCAACTATCGATTATTTTTACGACTAATCGATTAATCTGTTTATGTACTTATATTTTAGCTTTGCCAATTTTTTTCCAAGTAAATTGTTAACAAAGGGCCTTCATCATTCAACATAGACTTTTTAGAGATTTTAACCATTTTACATATTCATATCCACATCAAAAACATATCTGGAGCTGTTTTATTATGTCTTTTGTAATCCTTTGTTGAACTCAATGTTGACCATCAAAACAAAACACTGACAGTTACATACTCTAGCAAATTTCACAAGGAGATTTCCAATAATGTTTTCACCATGAAAATCCTTAGGGCTTCTGAAGTAGTTTAAAATCCCGAACAAGGCTTATTTAAGTTGATAAACTGGATAAATGTTTTGTGCAAATTAGTTGAAAGATCAACTTTATGCCTAAAACAGTGAGTGTGGCGCCATCTTTTGCAAACAGTCAGTACTGCAGAGAGATGATGTCAGGAGGGGAGAGATGACGTGTGCTGCCCTGTGCTTTGGAATACAAAAGCAAGAGTGTAAGGCTGGGCACTGGTGTTTAGTTGATCTTTAAGGAATCTTTCAGAACGTATTATCATGAAGAATAAGAATAAAACGGAATAAAATTGCAGTAAAATGAATTTTATTATTTTTTTCATGTAAACTAAACACACAGCTTATACCTGGGAAATGGCTTTACAGCTTAGTTTATGCTGTGAAATTGTAAACAATCCTACAAATAAAGTGCCAATGGCATGAAACCGGAACTCACATTTTAAAGTCAAATGTAAAGAAAAATACATCAGATGGTTGTCCAGAAAAAAATTGGACGCGCGCAACAAAACTGCTGTCTGAAAAAGAGCAGCGAGTACTTACAAAAGTGCATTTAAACATTCATTTTAGGTTGCAAGACTGAATTATGAACTGGTAACTGGCTTTAAAACAGCAAAACAGCAATGTTAGTAGCTTTTACAACTAAACATTTGCAAACAACATTGTTCTGCTTAATCTGCACAAATAAAAGTCTTTGCCCATTGTGATTTTCACAAGATTTAAATATGTAGTCAGTGCAAAATTCAAAACTTTTATAAAACAATAAAAAACAAAACAGCATATGCCTGATTTGACAGGATTCCAACTACCTGTGGGAAATAAGGCCGAACACTACTCATTTGAGAAAGAACTTTGCATTGCAGTGCAAAAAGGTCAACATGTCCAAATGTTCAGGGCTTAGGCTTGCTCTCTTTTTAGAGGCTATGTTTCCTGCTGCAGAAAGCAGCCGCTCGGCTGGTGTGGAAGTGCTTGGTATACAGAGGTAAGACTTTGCTAATCTCGACAAAAAGGGATATTTCACCTCATTCAATTTCCACCAATCTAACGGATTTTCCCCCTTGGGAATGGGCTTCTCACCATAGAATCAGAATCCGAATCATTTTTATTGCCAACATAAGTAACGGGAGGTCACAGACTTGGAAATTGCTTTGGCTCAGTGCAACAGTCAAAAAGAGATAATAAAAATAAGAATAAAAAACACTTCTAAAGAATAAATTTAAATTTAAAATAGAGTTACAGTTACTATTTACAATATACAAGTGCACATGGTGCACACAATGTAAGGTGACAGCAGTACAGTGAAGTAAAGTGACGTATGATGGGCAGTAAAGTGACTTTATAAAGGGCGGGGGGACAGGTTAAGAAGTGTTCAAGAGTCCAACAGCAGAGGGGAAGAAACTGTTCTTGTGGCGGGAGGTTCTAGTCCTGATGGACCGCAGCCTCCTGCCTGAGGGGAGTGGTTGGAATAGTCCATGTGCAGGGTGAGAGGGGTCGGCTGTGATACGACCAGCCCGGCCTCGAGCTCGGGCGACGTACAGGTCCTGCAGCGATGGAAGGCTGCGGCCGATCACTTCCTCTGCAGAGCGCACAATGCGCTGTAGTCTCTGTTTGTCCCTGACTGTGGCTCCAGCGAACCACACGGTGATGGAGGAGGTGAGGATGGACTCGATGATGGCCGTGTAGAACTGCACCAACATCTGTGCAGGCAGCTTGGCTTTCCTGAGCTGCCGCAGGAAGTACATCCTCTGCTGGGCCTTCTTGATGAGGGAGCTGATGGTCGGCTCCCACTTGAGGTCCTGGGTGATGGTGGTGCCCAGGAAACGGAAGGACTCCACAGAGGTGATGGGGGAGTCCATCACGGAGGGTGGGGGCGGGGGGACAGTGCTCTTCCTGAAGTCCACAATCATCTCCACTGTCTTCTGGGCGTTCAGCTCCAGGTTGTTACCACTGCACCAGGACACCAGCCGGTCCACCTCCCTCCTGTAGGCGGACTCATCGTTGTTGGAGATGAGTCCAATGAGGGTGGTGTCGTCCGCGAACTTGATCAGCTTCACGGAGTCGTGGCTGGAGGTGCAGTGGTTGGTGTACAGGGAGAAGAGCAGGGGAGAAAGAACACAGCCCTGTGGGGCTCCTGTATTTATAATCCGAGAGTCCGAGACATTCTTCCCCAGACGCACTCGCTGCTTCCTGTCCGTCAGGACAGGAAGCAGGAAGCACTAGTACGTGAGGACCTCCTGCCTGACTTTCCTAGTGAGCTCCTCAACATCTCCATCCTTGGCTTCTTCCTCACTGCTGGTGTCGGAATCCAGAAGAGTGTCAATGAAGGAGACAGGAACTTTTTCAGGCGTAGGTGGTGTACGGTCAGGTTCTGTGTGCTGCTGGACACAGGGGGGCTGCAGCTGCTCCATTTCAACTGCCTTAATTTGAACTTACTTGAACTTTGAAGCTGTCCTCAGAAGAAAGAAACTTTAGCTTTCGAAACCGTGGATCCAGGGAAGAACTAATGATTACAGTGTTGTGTGATGTGTCACAGAAAGTGGTTTCACTCCTCCATCGTTGTTCAAGCTGTTCTACAGCTGTGTGAAGGAACGCTTGTGCACCTGGTGTTTCAAACTCCATACCTTGCATTGACTTGACCAATCCTTTTACCAATGGTGGAACAGAGGAAATTGTTGTGTATTTTTCACCACTCATATACTCTGTGGCACAGTCAAAGGGCTTCAGGGCTGTGCAAAGCTCTTCAATTAGGCTCCATTGGTCTGGTTTTAAGTCTAAATATTGCTTGCCTGTTTTTGTCACAGATAGGTCCGACAGCGTTGCAGTAGCAGGCCACCGTTGCTCAAGTAGGCGGCTAATCATGTGATACGTACTATTCCATCTAGTACTAACGTCTTGGATAAGTTTGTGTTCAGGTGTGCCCATTTGCTGCCGTTTTTGCTTCAGTTTGGTGGATGCAAGCTCACTTCTTTTAAAATGCTCAACAAGGCACCGTGAAGCTCCAACTGCTTTGGCTATGATCTGGTGTTTAAGAGCAGAGATGAGAACAAGCTGCAATGTGTGACCTGTGCATCTGAGAGAGGCCAATCCGTGTTTCTCCTCCAGTAGTCGAGCAGCAGCCACAATGTTGGCCCCATTGTCGTGCACAATAGCACATACAATTTCAAATTTGTCCAATATTTCTTGAATCCACCCTGCAATATTTTGGGCAGTATGTCTCTCTTGGCATAGTAGAAAGGCAAATTGACTCCATTTGCCAGTCAGTTCTGATGTAGTGGCATGTGATTCCCAAGTATGCTTCAGTGGCAACACTAGTCCAAATGTCTGCAGTCAGAGCCACTTTACTGTCAATGGCTGAGATAGCTGCTTTCACTTGATCCACTATGGAATTGTACTTCTTGTCCAACAACCTCGCAAAATGCGTTCTAGAGGGGATAGTGTAACCTGGATTGAATGACTTTAACATTTGTTGGAAGCCTGCTCCTTCTACCATCGAGAGCGGTCGCATGTCCTTCACTAACATGTTCAAAATATCGTCTGTCAATTAGGGTTGGGCGATATGGGCCTCAGCATGTATCACGATTTTTGTTGGTATGTAATACGATATGAGAATTTTAACAAAGCCTCATATAAATATAAAATACAAAAGCTATAAAAACTTAGCACTGATAATTTTAAACACACTTGCCTCAAAGTGCATTTACTGATTTATTGGCAGCAAAATGTGCAATACAGCTATTGTATATAAAACGTATTAACAAAACTGAATTGTAGAGAATTCTGTTTTGTACATACTGAAAATTGCAGGCATCAGGTAATAAAGGTGAACATTTGTAATTTGTAAAATATATAAATTTGTCCTTTGTAATATAAAAAGTGTAGCATTATCAAATAATTATTTGATCACTTTGGCTTATGTTTCCTAATCCCAATATAGTCAAAAGGATCAAATACTGTATATATTTTTTGTATCCTTTTGCGTTTCTATAATTATGTAATTATAACTTATTTGTAATTATATTGCAATGTAGACAAACGCATGCATTGAAGTAAAATGAATGACAGTAAACAGTAAATAAAGCTTACCAATGGCACTAAGAGAGAGAGAGAGAGAGAGAGCGCGAGTGTCCGAAGCAAGCCACTCGAGTCCAGTTGTTTAGGGCAGCTGCTTTCACAACATTAGATCCACTGTCGATAGTTACACACAATTGCTTATTTTTATCTAGTTCCCAAACTACTCCCATATGTTTGAGGTAGCTCCGCGTTTTGGCACAATGTCTTCTACAATCTGCATGTCTTCACCAGGGTCTTCACCGCCGCCCTCACCCATGTTTGCTCTCTGCTCTGTTGTTGTTGTCCCTGCACGCCGCTCTGCTACACGTGCCGCGCAGATGCGTCATCAAAGTGCGCCGCACACAAACGTGTCTTCCGCTTGCCGTTTTCAGTGTTAAATGATCGTTTTCACCTGTATAAGGCATTTTCTTATCATTTAATTTACTTATACCGGTATACCGGTACAAAAAAATATCGCCCAACCCTACTGTCAATGGTGCACTTTGCTGCGGGGTGAGTATTTTTTTGTTGCACACGAAATTGCTGATGTTGGTTTGTTTCTTCCTAAAGCATACAACAAATGACAATAAGTACAATTTTTAAAACTAAAACGATCATTTTAATTAACAAATCAGCTACAATATTTCACACTGTATGGAATTATATCATCAACTTCTTAATCCCCGCATTAACCAAGCGTATTGTGTCCAGTTCGGCTTTTTGTTGTGTTATTGGTTGACTGGCACGTTTTTTTCCTCGCTCTTTTGTTGTTGTTTTTGTCACGTTTTTGTCACATTTTTGTTGCGTTTTCATCCTTGCTATTTCAACGCTTTTTTCCATGAAGCTTTTATATCCAAACTGGAGAACGTGTGCTCGGTTCAGTTCGGGGGTTAAGAGGTTAAACAATGACAATCATGTGTCGATATACTATGTATAAGAACAGTATTTTTGCGTGTAGTAAACTCACCTTGCCGGGGCTTGGTCCTCTGCTTCCACACACACGTGCTTTCGTTTAAGGTGCTCACGCAGAGACGTAGTACTCCCGTGCCAGGCCAAGTCAGTAGCACAGAGTTTGCAGGTTACTCTTCTTTTTTGAAGGTCCAAAGTAAAGTGCTCCCACACTTTTGGATGACTTCGTTCTCGAGCTTTCTCCACTGCCGCTTGCCTCCGCCATCTTGCTGTATGCTGAAGAGAAGCTGTGCGCGAAGCATGTGACATAAAAGGAGGCCAGCTATTGGCTATTTGCTACTTCTCCTGCTGTAAAACCTCTGGTGGCTCATTACTGCCACCATTTGGTCACCGCAGAGTTAAAATATGCACAAAATGAGCCGCTTACGGCAAAATAAAAGTTATTTAGCAACTAATCGATGACTAATTTGTTGACAACTATTTTAATAATCGATTTTAATCGATTAAATCGATTAGTTGTTTTAGCTCTATTTCTATTCTTTACTATTGGTATATGTGACGTTATTATTTTATGTATATACAATTACAATATAATACAATTTATTCTTTTATAGCCCTAAGTCACAACAGAAGTCATCTCAGAGCACTTAACAAAACCATTGAAATCACCAACACAGATCAGAGAATCAACAGTTAAAACACAAAAAATATGAAGCTCACACAAAAAAAATTCCATACATGTTGTAGAATGTTAAAGTGTCCTGGATCATCACCACATCCTTTTTGTTGGAGACCCTCCTGCATCGGCAAGGAAATATATTTATATTGTTTTTGTTCGTTCGTTCGTTCGTTCGTTCGTTCCAAAAGTAGTTAGTCAATAATTATTAGTTACCTAATGTAACTGTAGTTTTACAAATAGGTGCCTGATGGGCCCGTAGCTAAGGGGCTACGCACCTATTCATAGAACCACAGTTACATTAGGTAACTAATAATTCTACTTCATGGAGCTGTAACCCACTTTGGAATTAACATGAACGACTAGGTTCTTAAAGAGCTCAAATGTAAAGTGTTGGAACTATAGCCACAATGAAAGACAGACAATAGTTAAATGTAAATTGATTTAGTGCATTATGTCAAGAATTATTACCACAAATACAATGTAATGTAAAATAAAATACAAAAATAAATAGGCGCCTTTAAAATAACCCAAAAATAAACCCTTAAAGTCTGTGAGTGCACTTAAAGTTTTGTTCAAGGTGGTCAGCTGACACGGTCCTACTCAGCCGATAGCTCATGCGGTCTGCAATGGGATCATCCAGTTTTGGAAAACGGAATAGTGGCCAAACCGGCTGCAGCAGCGCGGAGTTCTGGCTGTGCGTTTATCAGCACCCCGTGAGGAATTGTTTTAAATGGAAGAAGCGGTGTGTGATGAGCTGTGGCTATGATCAATGCAAAGCACGGCCTATGTTTAAGTTAAGTTTAATTAAGGAAAACCCCTTGAGATGAATCATCTCATTTTCGAGGGGGTCCTAAACATAAATACAAACATTTAAACAAACAGATACACAAAAACAATTTACAGCAAATTAAAGATGAGAAAAGTTAATTAACGCACTCAAAAACAAAACGACAACAAAAATGAAACAAAACAAAATGCTCCTTCACACCCCACTCCTCCCCTCCCTTACTTTAGAAAAAAAGTAAAACTATTAACAATAATGACATACAGAACACAGAACATTAGTAACATAAACAAGGAGTTTCAAGGAACCTAAATAATTCAAACTTAAATAAACCAAAATGATCTACGTCCAATTTCTTTAATAATTCTTGAACAGAAAAGGTGAGACAATCTGAGCTTCGGAGTGAAAAAGGTGTAGAGATATATTTAAAACAAACTGTTTTAAATATTGTGGACAACTAAAATGAATGCATTTAAATAAGTGCATCCAGTGAAGGTGACGTCTGTTGTGAGGTTGAAGCCAGTGAAGGGTCTCGTACAGAGTGCAGTGATGTGTGTGATATGGACATTTGAGGACGAATCTACAAGAGACAGTTAAAAAGTGTATTGAGTGGTTTGAGATGGGAGGGAAATGTGTTTTGATAAATGACGTCAGCGTAATCGATGATGGGGAGAACCAGTTGTGTAATTATGTGTTTTCTGACATTGAGGGTGAAGCAGTGGGATGATCAGAATAATGGGCCCATGTGGCGTGATGATGGAGTTGATGTGATGTTTGAAGTCTTGAAGTCATGAAGGCATATTGAAACATTGAGGACGTCACGATGGATGAGGCAAAACTTATTGAAAGCAATTGGAAAAAGGGGAGAGAGAAAAGAACTCGGACATATCCAGTGTTGTGACATCTGACTCATAAGTGCAGCTCTGTGGGCTGTGGGAGCGAGCGGCGGTGAGGAGAGAGCGCCCTGGAGGTAGAGGGGACAGAGC